GACTGGAAGCACTTGGACTCGTTTAAACTGTTAGTGTAGTGTTCTAGAGCACTTCTGGTTCAAAATAGATAAATCAATACCCCACTTGGTGGAAGCCTGAACCCCCCATTTCCATCCCGGTGGGTATTTATCCTCCCTGTTATTGGCAGCGAGCCTTGCACCCAGGTTTTGGTCCCTCTGGGTGGCCAGATGGCACGTTCTCCAGCTGGCCCCCTGCTTTGGTGCCGCAGTAGCTCTCGGGCTGGTGCTCGGGCACATCTTCCAGCCGTGAGGTAACACGGCAGCAGCGAGGCCGAAGAGCGAAGCTGGTGCTGAGATGGAGGGAAACGGGTTCCTTTGAGCAAATAACACAAACGTTTGGACTCTCTGAGGCAGGGGCAACCTTGGCTGTTTTTATCCAGAGTCGAACCCAGCAGGGCCTGATGCGCAGGATTTGCTTTTAAAATGCTTTTCCTAATCCGCGATTGGGTGGGTAACCTCTCATCTGTGTCCCCTCTGCCAGGTGGCTATAAAGATCATTGACAAGACGCAGCTGGACGAAGAGAACCTGAAGAAGATCTTTAGAGAAGTTCAGATCATGAAGATGCTTTGCCACCCGCATATCATCAGGCTGTACCAGGTAGGAGCCCTCGCGGGGGGTTTCCAGCCCTCTGCACCATATCTTTAACCCCTGCAGTAGCTCTCTCTCCGGGGTTATCCCTCCATTTCTCCAGGTGAAAAACTGGGAGAGTCCTTCGTGTTTTCAAGGTCTCGGAGCGCTTTGATTAGAGGGGGGGGAAAGTGTGGCCGATCCTTCTCTTTTCTGGGAGATGGCGCTTCCGCTGTGGGCTGGCCTCTTGCCATTTCTTTATGGCTATTGTGTGCTTTTCAGTTTCCCAGTCGAAACCGGATGCGGGTTCCCCTTCTCACTGGGAGGGAGGGAGCAGGACAGGGAGCGCGTGGTCCCCCCCGCTCTCCTCCGGCTGCCCCCTGGCTCCCAGGGCTGGCTGATCCGCTTTCCTGGAAGGCGATCGATGGCAGCGGCGGGCCCCCTTTGGAATATTGTTTGCAGACTTCTCCTCGGGCCTGTTTGGCGTTCTCAGTCTGCAAACAAAACCACTGGTGACAGAATCCACCTGCGTCGCCTGTTACGCACGTCTCCGGTGGTGCCCCTGCGGCTGCGCGCTCGGGTGGGACAGCAGGGAGGCTGCAACAGGCCAGAGCCAAGCAGAGCGAGGGGAGCAGGGAAATAAAGGAACCCAACACCTGGGTGAAATCCTAAATGCTGGTTTGGAAGCTGTTGGACAGATGAACAACTCCCTCCCCAGGCTGCCAAGGGCTCAAGCAGTGATGTACAACCAGAGAGTGCCAAAATGCTCCGTACAAACTTTGCCCTGTTGCTTGTTGTGCCAGTTGTGGGCAGCTGTGGGGCAGGGACTCCTTCCCAGGATGCTGCCAGAGGCCTCACAGGCTCTTTTGGGAAAGGAAGGGACTTCGATCCAAGCTGTGGATGGAAATTCAGCTCTTCTTTGGGCTGGTGCTCAGTGTGGACCAAGGGCTGCCCAGGGACCTTGGGCTCGGGGAAGCGTTCGGGTGCAAGGACCAATTCGGATGGGTGAGCTCCTGTTTGTGGCTGCCTGGCTCGGATGGCAGGCCTCGGGATGTCTAAAAAAATTGAAATCCCAGGGGGAATACACTTGGGTTAATCCCTTTTGTATGTAAAGTTCATGCGTGTGTTCAAGGGAGAAGTTGTGGTGACCCTCGGGAGAAGCTGCCGTTCCCAAGAACCAGCTCACGCTTGTCCAAGCCCAGGTGCTTCCCACCCATGCCCCATAGACAGGAGCCTTTCTTTGGCATCCGAAGAGTTAAACCAGTAGCAGTGACAGGGGTTAATGTTTAGCTGTTCTGGCCAAACCACCAAGCGTGAGATGCCCGCAGCAGGCACCGCAGAATTGTGGCATTTTTAAGGTATTTAGGGAGCGCTTCTCCACAAACTGACTCCTGAAAGCTTTTATTGTTGTTTTTGAGTCAAAAATCCATTATTCCCCCTGTTTTATTCCATCTAAAGCTTTTGATGGGACACTGGGCAGGTGACACTTGTGGCTCGGCTTTGCTAAGGTGAGAAAAGAGCATCCTCTGTTTCATCTGGCCGTTCTTTCTGGGTACTTTTGGTGGCGTTTATTTTTAGATAAAAACCACAGAACCCCAGAGCCGGGAATTCAGGGCCCTTTCACAGCTCTTCATCAGGAATCTGAGTTTAAAAATCACGTTTCCTTGAGCTTATAAGACTTAAAATGTGTAAATGAGAAAGGAGGAAGTGTCTCTAATGACAGAGTGGTTTGCGATACGAGAGATTCTGCCTGGAAACAGAAACGCACTTAAAAATACCTCAGTAAGGGAAGGGCTTTCTGGAGTTGTCGTGTCACCAGTCAGCGGGAGGTGTGTGTCTTGCCATGAGACAAGGGAGCAGAATCATAGAATTGCCCAGGCTGGAAGGGTCCTCCAAAGGTCATCTAGTCCGACCCCCCCGCAGTCAGCAGGGACACCCCCAACTAGACCAGGTTGCCCCATCGAGCCTCTCCTTGAATATCTCCAGGGAAGGGGCCTCAACCACCTCCCTGGGCAACCTGTTCCAGTGCTCCGCCACCCTCACAGTGAAGAACCCTCTCCTCATCTCCAGTCTAAATCTGTTCCCCTCCAGCTTGAAGCCATTGCCCCTCGTCCTGTCACTACAGGCCTTTCTAAACAGGCTCTCCCCAGCCTTCCTGTAGGCCCCCTCAGGTACTGGAAGGCTGCTATTAGGTCTCCCCGGAGCCTCCTCTTCTCCAGGCTGAACAACCCCAGCTCCCTCAGCCTGTCCTCGTAGCAGAGGTGCTCCATCCCCCTGATCATCCTTGTGGCCCTTCTCTGGACCCTCCCCATCAGGTCCATGTCCTTCTTATATTGAGGGCTCCAGACCTGCACACAAGACTCCAGGTGAGGTCTCACCAGAGCAAAGTGGCAGAATCCCCTCTCTGGACCTGCTGGCAACGCAGCTTTTGATGCAGCCCAGGATGTGATTGGCCTTCTGGGCTACAACTGCCCACTGCCTGCTCATGTCCAGCTTCTCATCCACCCGCACCCCCAAGTCCCTTTCCTCAGGGCTGCTTTCTAGTACCTCACCCCCCAGTCTGTACTGATGGTGAGGATTGTTCCGGCCCAGGTGCAGAACCTTGCATTTGCTCTTGTTGAGCCTCATGAGGTTCACCTGGGCCCACCTCTCCAGCCTGTCCAGGTCCTTTTGGATGACATCCCATCCCTCTGGTGT